GTGACAGGTCCAAGCCACCCTAAGTTTCCACGCTGATTATGATCTTGAAAAGAAACACCTGCTTGTCAAAGAAACCTCTTCCAAGAAAAGTGGAATAAAAGCATAGAAATAATCTAGTAATTCAGTGGTTTGATTAACACAACAATCACCATCACCAGTCATTGTCCCACCTGGTATGTCAGACAAAAGCTCAAACACGGTAGGTTTATTACTAAATGTAGACTTCCCATGATCAATTTGTTTCAGTCCTTTGGATGATATAATTTCCAAGAAATAATGAGGAATTACTAAACAGAAGCCAAGAACAATTTGACTTATAGCAGGGTATATTTTAAAATTTCCAGTGTAAATAAATAATCTCATTCATAGGATTTCAGAATATTCCATCCTGACAGAATTAAATTCTGGAGCAGTGTTGTATACTTGCTTGCTGCTTGCATTCCCTGTCCAGCTGGAGGATTCCCTTTCCCCAGGAGAGTCCTGGGAGGTGCAGAAAGTTGCTGTAGCTGATTGTATCACTACAAGGAAATGCTGTGTGGAGGAAGCACAACCAAATTCTAATTATTATCTGTGGAGCAAACAGCTCCATAGCTGCTGCTGCAGCTGAGGTTGGAGGAAGCTGATGATTGCTCTTTGTGATGCCCTCAGCTCCAGGGCACGAAGCACCTTCATGCAGCTGCCTTTCCACACTTCCAGTCAGATCAGAGCGAGTACCAGCCCCAAAGGAGAAGTGATAACTGATTAAACATCACAAAAGATGTTACAGTAGTTATTTAAAAGCAACAGAGTACCCACTTACTAGAGGACACATAAAGACAGTAAGAAATTACACTGCTTTTAGAAGGAGCTGTGCAGCAAATGGCTTTCCTGTCTGTTTCAGGACTTACAATATTTTTTCTTTTTTCCTTTCTGCTGAGAACAACCTCTAAACCTTGCAAATTTGTGGCGTAAAGCCACAGAGAGAATCCCAATCTCTTTCTCCCTGGGACATCCGAGTCTACTGGTGAGGAAATTATCAAGAAGTGGAGAAGCTAGGCCCCCATCTGTGTTCTGTTCAGTCCCAACCAAGAACCAACCTTTTGGCACCCCAAGTGATGGTCCCAGTCATTGTGACATTACTCAGTAGCACAAGCTAACCTTTATGCAAAACTTCTGCTGGAGCAGAGATTTCAGCTACAGCCTCCTCCAGCACATGAGAACAGTACTGGCTCTTCTAGAAGAGATCAGAAAAGGAGGTCTCTTGCTTTCTGTTTTTCCAGTAATTCCAATCTGGGCCCCTGAATCATCTTCCCAGTAAAGCTTTGTCAAAACTGGCATGCTCTCGGCTTTTTTTTTTTTCTCTCCTTATTTTCAGTTTTAACTAATTTGACACTCTCTAAGGAAGAAAAATCAACAATATGTTGCTGGAAAATTTTTAAACAGCTCTTGTTACAAAGCACGGCGATGCCAAAGGCAGCAGGACCTGGGAATGGTCACAGCTCTAATCACTCAGCCGTGTGCTTTCCTACTACTAATTTGTCATAGGAAAACAGATGGTGATGTTGGTGCATGGGGCCAGATTCTTACACCTCTTTAACATTTACAACTTGCATTACAACAGCATCTTTGGGACCTCAGGAAGCCTGGGGCCCTGTTATGTTAGGCACTGTACAAACAGAGAGTAAGATACAGTCTCTGCTCTTGGGAGCTTCCTGAGAGACTAAATAGACAAGACAGATAAAGGAGGGAGAAAAAGCAGAGAAGTGATTTGCCCAAGGTCACACAGGAAGAACTCGCAGAGCTCGGAGTAGGTCTCACATCACAGGTCAGTGTATTTCCACTTGTCCAAATCCTGTCTGCAAACAAACAGCTGTGACCACTAAATCACTTGCTGAGTCTCCAACAACTTCAGTGCAACTCACTGCTTCCTAACTACTCTGTGCATGTTTCCTACAAGGATACCAGGAGGAGTTCACCAGCACGGCACAGATGGGTGTCACTGCTTCTGGACTCACCGAGGACATAATCAGTCCCAGGACAGCAGCAAAATGCTAGGCAAAGGGATTTTTTCTTCTTTTTTTTCGCATCAGAACAGCTTTGGATAGAAAGTTACATTAAAATACACTTGACACTGAGCATTAGAGAAAATGCCTGCTTCCAGCAGACCCCAAATACTGTATAATCTCATCTGGCCAAAGGCTGAGGCACCCTTTGCCGTCTTGTGTTTTGCTCTTATACCAGGTCCACTGGAGAGGCCAAATGCACTTCTACCCTTTCTATATCATGCATTCATAAAAATACTCAGCAGATACAGAAGCGTGTGCACAAAGCTTCAATCTTTTAAAGGTTAAAAGGACTGTTTTACAATTAAGGCATTATTTTTCATGTGGAATAACTGAACTGTAATCTGATGTGAAGTCACAAATTCCAAGCTGCAAGGATGTCCGTTGTATTCCATGATAAATGTGCTCTACTCAGGCTGACAAAAATTATTATTTTATATCAGCATTTTAGTAGAGATCATTTAATAACTGTTTTTCCAGAACCTCATGAAAAATTATATATATTCTAATGAATTAAAATGTAGTTTAAATGTTTCACTGTAGGCTTGCTCTGTTCCATGCTGCTCCTGCTGCAGGCAGGACTGCCAGCTGGATGGATTTCCTTTCTGATCAATCCATCCTCTCTCATGTCTCAGGGTAAATAGGGACCTGAAGAGTGATGGCAGCAAGGCTTGGACTCATCCTACCTGTGGGAGTGTATGCTGGGCTTTGCACCACTTATTAGTGGTTTGTTATTAGTCTTGTCTGTTTTTTTTCAGAGCTAGGATTAATAGAAACACGATTGAGGCAATTCTTGTGTTTGGGCTTGGATGTTTATTACATCATCAGAAATTACAGAAAGTATGACAGCACTTCTAGCTCCTTGCTAGAAGTAGGAAAAATGGTTACAGCTGAGCCTGCTTCAAGGCCTATTAAAGCTACACAAACCAATAAAAGTTTAACAGCTACATTATTTAGCCTTTTGACTCAATAATAGATTCCCATGACCTTTAGAGTGACATTAGAACCAGAGGTTACTGCCTGAGTTCCGTGAAGAAGACAGAAGAAGATGAAAAAAGAGAAAAATCCTCCATCTTGTCCCATATCCACGACTATACTATAAAAACCTCAAATTTAAAACCTGTCACCCAGTGAAAATACACACATCTAACCCGCTACACATTTATGATTTCTATCTCACTATTCATATTTCCAAGCCTTCTCCAAGGTTTCAGCTCCAGTGCAGTGTTTTCCAGGGGGTCTGTGCCTGGAAGCACAAAAAGGTCAAAAACTCCAGATTCCCGAGATCCAACACTACCCAGAAGTGGAACTGGTTTAGATGCCCAATGTGGTCAATGACCTGAAAAAACAGGACACAAATATCCTCACCCTCTCTCTTACAATTCAGAGTGAGTTTCGTGAATTTGAGAACCAGGGTTTGTCTCTGTCTCAGCAAGTGAGGCAGTGCAGGTGAGGAAGATCCCTGCAGGACAGCTGCTGGTGAGGCAGAGCCACCCTCATGGCCACGTCCCTTGGGAGCTGTGTTTGCTCCAGCTCCAGACCCAAGGAGGGAATGTCACTCAGGGGCAGGAAAGTGCTAAGTGCACTCCTGCAGCATATCTGCACAGTTTGATTTCATTCACAACTCTCCCATGTTCCAAGTCTGCTCTCAACAAAAACAAAGCCCTAATAAATGGGGATTGTCAGATGATTGTTTCAAAAGTGCATTCCTGCTCTGAGCTAAAGCACCAAGGCAACTCCACTAGAACCATTAATTTTTAAAAACCAAACAATATCAAGTAATTTAGCACTCAGATTGACAGTAGGTTTTTGTTAAAAGCAGAAAGCAAACAAAATCCAAATTCTTAATATCCTTAGGAGTGTTTTCATTGCTCATTTAATTGATGTTTTCCCTAGAGCTTTTGCAATGCCACTGCAGTAAATTGTGAAGCAGGAAAGAAGATCTTCACTATAATAACGCCTGACAACTTAAATTCTCCTAAACTGAGCAAGCACAAAAACTTAAACAAGATTTCAGACCACTGTATTAACCCAGGATATGACAAGAAAAAAACCTCCAGTTTTGGGTACTGGTAGCACGTCTTGTTGGGAAGTTGATGTCTCTGTGTCCTATACACTGCACTGCCCATCCTAACGTTCCACTCAGCTAAGTGTCAAAAGCAACAGCAAGAGTTTACAAAAGATCTTTGGCTCTCAGTTAACAGTATTTTATTTCTTCTACGTTGTGCCAGTTAGTGTTGAAATCCTTGCAGTGTATTAGACTATCACTAGACATTCCTGAATTCTTTTAGAAAGGACTGTTCTTGGCACTTGCTAGAAGGCAGCAAGGCCCTTCTCTTCATGTAAGGACACTGCCACACATGTAGTGCAACTGCTGCACTTGCAGGCTGGGCATTCACCCTGTGCTCCACCTTAGGTGTACTTTTATAGCCTCTGGGTACCTCTAGCAATGCAGAAAATAACTGGCTGTGCATTGAACACCTTTTCATAGAGCAAAACATTAAATATACAGATTTTAATCTATAAATTGTTATGCAGCCAGGAGAAAAAGGGAAGGAACGACCATATTCCATAATTGCCTGCAGCCCAAAAGGCAGCTGGCATCTGAGTCCTAGCAAGAAACATTGAGCAGATTGTGGGTGCTGGTTGTGGGGGAGCATTTTCTTGCTGGCATGGAAGCTGGGTGTTGATTCAGTGCTGGCAAAAGCTTTCCTCTGCACCCACAGAAGTTAAATCCTCTATCACCTCTCAACAAGTACATTTTGATGGCAGAAGGCTTTTTCTATCTAGCTGATGACAAGGAAGCCTGTGAGGCTTTTTGAGGATCAGAGTTAAAAAAACACAACCTGATAATGCCTTCTGTTTCTTTAAGGTGATCCTCAATTTCACTTAATCTTGTTTGGGGAGTGGCTGAAATATGATGGAGGGCTGGCAGGGAGCTATGCAGAGCTCCTCAGAGTGGGAGCAGGGAGAGGATGGGTGGGCAGGATGTCAGATGGGAGGCACTATTACAGACCATGCCTGAATGACTCTACTTCCATGTTGTGCCACTGAAACCAGGAAAGGGCCAGTATGGATTTCAGAATTTATGACGTGTTTCAAATTGAGGGAGGTAACAGAGAGATGGAGAAGAACCATCCTTTGTAATAAAGCATGGCAAGTCTCTGCAAGAGCAGTCACCTTGTGCTGGCTTAGAGAATACCTGGCAGACTACCCGATATTTATGTGTCTTGGTTTGGTCAGAAGAGACGATCTGGGGACACAGGCATCATACAGTCACTCCAAGACCTTACATTAAAACATATAAAAAGTCACTGCAGAGTTGAATTTGATACATGCACACACACACCATACTGGGAGCTGTGCTTCTTTGTCCACTGCTGTTGGGACCCAGTGAAACTACTTTCTGCAATGTGTGGTTAAACTCAATAACCAGAAAGACAGACCTTGCAGGGGCAGAGCTGGGACCAAGAGAAAGATCACGTAGCAAAATGCTGCCTAAAGGAACAAATTAGCCAACAGAAGAGGATATTAGTTTCAGTTTCCTCTGCTACAGTTTAACATTTTCACCACATGTCTATGGATGATGTAAGAAGACATTAACTGTATTTCAAAGATTCAGTATAATTTTTTGACCAAAAAAATCAATAATTAGATTGTTGTAATTAAAAATTGATGCTTACAGGGAAATACAGTTATCTGCCAAATTCAGCATGGAGGGACACAGCCTTTGTGTAAATCTGCTTTGGTTGGGTTTGTGGGCTGAGGGCTGGGTGTCCCTTGTTTCAGTGTGAGACTTTGACCCACAAACCACGTGGGACCTGGATTTTCCTCATGGTGCCATGTGAATCCAGAAATCAGCCCCAGTCTGAGTGCAAGAGTTTTGCTGAGCAGCCTGGAGAACAGTCACAAATTTTTCCACACACCTGGACTGCGCTTTGAGTCTGTAACAAAGCTGAAAGCTGGCCAAGTTTCTCCTGGCTTTGTTACTGGGCTTTTTGCACAGATCTATTATTCTCTGCATTATTTTTTTTTTTCTTTCTTTCTTTCAAAACCGAACCATTAGGGGAAAAAAGGGTTTGTTAAGGGGGAGGAGAGAATGAAAAAGAAACAAGAGTGTGTGTTTGATTGCAAGAGGGAGATGCAGCACCACAGCAATCGCTATCACTGCATGCACCAGCAGCTACAAACAGGCTGAGAGCTTCAAATGTAGGACAGCTCAGGCGAAGGGGAAAAAAAAGAAAAGGAAAGGAAAAAAAGAAAGATAGAAGACAGCAGGAGTGCTGTTTGTCTTGGCTGGTTAGCACTCAGTCCCCACCTGCATTTGATTCTGCTCAGCCTCTGGACTCCTCCCCTCCCTTTGGAGGCATGGCAATACAGGAAGGCAGGAGGGGAAGGGAGACAGAACACTTTGTACTAGCAGCCAGACCACTGTTTAACTTCTTCAGCCAAAAAACAAATATGAATATGGAAAGATTTTATGGTGAGATACATCAACAGACTGAAACAGTTCTGAAAATCCTTCTACAGTTGCTCATTCAAGGTTTTCAACCTGCAGACTTTCCTTGTGATTAATCCCAGTGTTTGTTTTGTAGTAGTAGTGCTAAGTATTTACCAAGTGATGTGAACTGTCAGCTCTGCCACAGAGAGTTCTGTCTGCTGGGAGTATTTTATGGCCTTCATAATTTGCACTTATATCCAGCCCGTGTTGCTTTTTTAGTTTCATTATGGTTTGAAAATGAAACCCAGAAAATAACCACTGTGCTTACTAGCAAAGAAGCCTGGGTGCTGAGCAGTAGGAATACAGCAGCCATGAGCATTTCAAAATGCACAGAGCAAGGAAATATTCTGTTGCAAACTATACTTCCCTTTGCATAGTAAAATTTAAATCACTCATGTATTTACTTAGAAAAATTCTTTTATGTCAGACTGCTTTTGCAGATATTCTCCCTCTAAATTCAGAGCATATTTTAGCAGCCCAAATGCTGTGCACAGGCCTTAAGCATGCTGAACCTGGCAGTATGCCCCCAAATTAGGCTGTGCTGAGCAGACAGAACAACAGGCATCTTCCTCCCTTGTGCCATAAGAGATCTCAGAAACAAAAGTTCATTTTTTAAAATTTTTTTTATTGGAGATGCTTCACATAAAGATACATCAGAAAGTAAACTGCTGATAGCACCTGATGGTGCTATCCTGACGGCAAGCACTTCTTGTGAACCAGAAATTCTCAGAAACTGACCATAACAGCTAGAGAATAACAAGGTACCACTCCATCTACAGGCATTACATCAGGGAAATATCCTGATGTCTTCTAAAGCCTTGGGGATGGTAAAGCACACAGAAAAAAATTACAGCCTTTTGGAAAGCTTGAGCAAAACTGAATTGGCAATGTAAAAAGCACTATTTTAATTTTGTAAAAAAGTCTGTCACTGTAAAACCATGATACCTAAAAGCAACTGCTTAAAAACTATTGACAGTGAATACCTAAATAGATATTCTACTACAACGTTTCAGCTATTCTGCATTATAATTATTAATTAAATTAATTAAAGTGTTTTCATTATTTTACTCAGAAGTGAGGCAGGGAATGGCACTCTTCATTGGAAGTTGCAATGTTAAATTCTAAACATTTGGAAATGGGGAAACGCAACACTAAGGTAAGAGTTAAATGAAAGCAAAAAGTCAGAGGAGGAAGCAGCAAGACCAATTCACTGCCTTTCTCTTTCCCATCCCTGCTTCTTTTCCAGCACAGGGGAGATTGCAAATGGAGGGGTTAGGAACCACAAAAAGTCACTCCTGATCTCTGAGTCACTCCTGGGTCTCACAGAGGAGTAGTGCAGAATATTGCTGTATATACTGAATTGTTGTCCATAAGATAACAACACTGGTAAGGTGGATTTCCACCCAAATACCATGGATTTTTTTCCATGTCATTTCAGTTCTCTCCAGAAAATGATCTTTTTGTAAGTGTCAACACAGATGTGTGTTTTCGAGCCAGTCATAATAATGCTTTTTATAGTCAGCGGAGAGAAACAGGCATTGTAGTGCACATGATTTATTTTAGATGTCTATTTAGGATGAGATGCATCATGTTCTCAATATGACTTTTCTCCTGCCCCTCCTCCCAAAAACATTGAGTCTACATGGTAAGATCAGAGATCAACACTTAGAGTAAAATACCCAGAGTCAAGATGAGACACTTCCCTCTGGTTGAATCCATTGCCCTGCTGCAGTGAATGAGATTCTGACAGTGACTTTGTTAGGAAACTAGGACCACACTTATTGCTCTGTCTCCATTTCAGCCACCATGCCACACCATGTCACATCATAGTCACCAGGCCAAGAGTCAACAACCTTTGGAAGCTGTGCTTTACCATTTGGGAAGATGAGCATGTTGTCCTAACCTGGATGGAAACAAGGATGAGCTGCTGGCAATAATAATTTGCCTTGGCTAAGGCAGTGGTTCCTATGGACATGGACCTCAAAAGGAGGCAACAACAGGGGGTCAATGCCAAGGCTGAAACATCCCAAGTCTCAAAAACAATAATCCAACCCCTTTCACCTCAGCTGAAACTGAAGAAGTTTACAGTGCTCACCCTTTTTCTTCCCCATTACAGGAACATTCACTGACACAACTTTCTAATACCTCCAAGAATCCAGCTTTTGGTAGTTCTTTAACTGGAGCAGATTAAGCACAACAGTGAAAGACACAAATGTGGACTTTTAAAGGACAGCCATTTTTGTGACAGCTTTCCAAAAAACCGCGAAGACTAATTTTTCTCCAATCAAAATATCTATTCTTATTCTCCTCAAAAATCATTGTCAAAGCTTTTGTGGATGGAATTGAGCGTAAGAAATTTGTAAAGACTGAAGTTAAGAAAAACCTAAGGAGAGCTACAAGAAGAAGAAATGGCTTTCCAATGAAAAAGTTTGACACAGTATTCAGGAAAGAAAGTGAGGGGATCACAGTAATAGACCATTTTCAGTCAAAATTTCATTGCCTTTCACTCTGTTAATTATGCTTTAAATTGCCATAGATGGTGCCAGAAGCAGTCACAGAAGTAGAATAAAGGCTGATAATAACAGCAGCTTGGTTTTGTGGAGCCTCCATAGCTGGGTGGCACCTAAATAAAAGCATTGAAAGTGCCAGAAGCCAATTTGAGGTTTGGTTTTGGATTCATTTACAATTTGGTTTGGCTTTCAATCAGGTCTAAGTATGATTGGGGTAGGGTATGAGAACACAGAACTCTCTTATATCTGTGAGGTGGGCAAGGCTTATGTTTCACCATCACTGATTTGTGGTTAGCCTCTTCTTTTGGCTATTAAATTTAATCAAGATTATAGAACTGCTGTTTGCTCAAGGCACTACTGGAGTCAAAGATGCGCTGCAGATGTACACATCTAGGCTTGTGCAGATCTGACTGCAGAATCAGGCACAGAATTTGGACAGCCTTTAAGTATAGAACAGAATATAGTGATATTTAGTAACATACAAGACTGGTACCTCAAGTGAGTACTGACTGCTTTAAAACGGTGACCCAGGAGAAGTCATTCAAAATACTCTTTTAAGTTCTCCACAACACAGTAGTTTCAGTGCACAGCTTTCTATCATGAATTTGCAGGTAATGCAATCGGGGGCAGTACTGACAGCTATATGAGCATTTAAGCTGTATGCATTTATAAGAGGCTTAAATACTGAAAATTAAGATTAGAATGGCATAACAGAGTTAAGTGCTTTTGACAATGTTTTAAGTATGAGTAAGATCCTTATGATTTATGAAATCCCTTAAGATGACTGGAGTATGAAAAGTGACATGATAACAACATGCCTGGTTCTAGGGTTTCTGCAAGCACATGTAGGGGCACATACCCACTTTCTAAAAACATAACTAGGGAAAGTTACACAGTTCTGAGAAGAAGAGAGGAGGTAGCTATTTTTTATTGCATTTAGATCTGCTCTGATTGTCTTTTGCTGCATCTTCTTCCTCTTGCTACTTAAAATGAGAAGGACTCCAAGAGGTCTTTTGAGCACAAGGAAAAGAGTTTGGCAAGAACCTGAACGTTGATTTTTTTTTTGTTTCAAAATACTTGTGTAGAGATACTTATGAGAGTGCATAATTTTTATGTTATAACACTTGTACACAGACAACTTATTGAATGTTCATGGTCTCAAGTTTCCCAGATACCTTTTTTCTAAATATCTTAATGACAACCAGCACTGAAACGAAGTTTCAAAGAAGGATCACAGAATTTATTAAGGGAGAGAGAATGCATCCTGTGATAGGAAAATAGGAGAAGTTGACTTGTTCAGCCTCATAAAGGAAAGGCAAAGAAAAGATATCATGGCCCTGTGTAACTGTGACCATAGAGCATAAGATCAAATTGCAATGAACTGGTCATGAATAAATGTAGTTAAAGTTAGAAAAAGGTTTTTAGCTGTCTGAAGAGTGAAATTCTGTAAGCTGCTTACACGAGGCTCATGGTGACAAGTTGCCCAAATGACTTTCAGATGGATTTTGAGGAGATTAGGGAAGGGAATGATTAATTTATACAGAGAAATTCCTAGAAAGTGTGTTCTGATGCAGATCTGTAGGTATCCAGTGTATGCGTACATACAAGGGAGTCTGAAAGGGGACTATATCTCTGTTTGTAGTGCAGTTACACCAAATTAACTTCAAGCTTTCACACCTTGTGAAGAATTGATCACCCTGCTGCCCTTGTTTCTGATATTTTCCTCCCTCTGCTGAACAACTGAATACTACAATAAGATGCAGACACACTCATGCTTCAAGGCTTCACATTCCTTTCAGCATCTAGTTGGCACATCCCACTGGCACTCAATGGAACAGCACACGTTTTTACTTCAGGTCATACCAGCAGGTACTTTACTGGGTTTCCCTATTTCCTCAGAAGCAATGGTTATTAGTCAGCTTTTTTTCCCACCTGGGAGCTGTATTTTGCATGTTTTGCAATGCCCTTGATCTCTCCTGTTATACTCCTATGGCACATTATAGCATGACTTTTGACCTTCCACTATAAATATGTATTTTTGAAGGCTAAGAAGTAGTGTTTCGTGTGCTGTGATTGCAGGAATGAAAGATCTGTGCACTCCTGAACTGGGCATCTACAGTTGCAACTGTGGGAGATCAGTCTCAAAGGCAGAAGGTGGTTCTTTCTAACCTGATGTTCCTGAATACCATTTACTATAAAAGTCCTGCATGCTCATGAGCACAGGAACTGGAAAAAAAAAGTCAGCAGACAAGTTCTTTTTGGCATAGATAACATTTGGTAATTGCATTTGAGAAAACAGTTGAGAACAGGTTTAGCATGGATTCATCTGAATTAAGTAGAACATTCAGTTCCTTCCTCATTTTGGCCTCTTGGAGGGCAATTTTCATCCCAGACATTTCAGAGCCTCAGTTTTGAAATTCATATAAAGGGAGATAAAACAGACAGCTCTCTGGCAGGAAAGAAATACAAGTGGAACAGTGATAGGAAGTAGAAGAAGGAGAGAGAAGTCTGGTTTGGGAAGAGAAGAAATTATGTTGGAACTGCAGTACCCTAAGGAATGGAAAAGCAGGAGGGGCCTGGCATTTTTTGACGTAACTATAATACAAAAATACCCTTCCTGAATCTTCAAAGAAACAGAGAAGCTGCAACTAGTTATATTCAGAGATATGCTTTGAAACAGGTATGCTCATTTTAGTGTTAGAAGAAAGCAATCGAGAGATTTTCCTACCAAGACATGAAAACGTACCCAAAGCAAAGATCAGAACTCCAAACCTTTTTCTCTCAATCCCACATTTACTCCTCTAGTGGACACTGCTTAATAAAAGCAGATGCACGGTAAATGCACAGTAAAAACACCTTTCATGTATATATATTTTTTTTTTAAGAGTCAAGACCTATGAACATTTGTATTCAAGGAAAGTATCACTCTTGAACAATTTCTGCAGCACACATTTATGTTTCTTGGGATGAGAACTTGCTGAAACTCTGGGTAGGCACTATGGGAGTTTTCCTCTCTGTGACAGCACTGTCATTGCCATCAATAAACCACCCATGGACCTGCCACCAATACAACAGTGCCTTCTGCCTTCAGAGCACCACCTTGCCATCCTTGTCTTTTTTGAGGGAAATTGGGTTGGGGGCAATGGTCAATCCTTTCTCTGTGCTTCCCTTTCTAATTTAAAACTCAGCACAACGACCACCTAACTGCACCGTGGAAGGAAATGGGTAGAATTTATTAATGGGGAAAGAAAAATGAAAGAAAAAGCTTGCAGCTTCCTCAAGTATTAGGGTGAAAATGGGGTGGATGCTAACTTGGG